CTTCTGAGAGGACCAATAATCGATTATCACTTGGTGACAATCGATTATCTGGGTTACCGTTGTCCTCCAACGGATAGATTTTTAAACTTTTGGACAGGGAATCTTTTAATAATCGATTATTATGGCTAGACAATCGATTATCACCCTGCAACTCTGAAAAATTTGTCTTCATCCTGTTGGAAAATTTAGCAACGGTTTTATCCCATTTTGGGCTATAAAATGGCACCCAAATCCTCTCATTTTACACACAATTCTTCAACATTTCAATACTCTTTCATTGCATAATCATTCCTATTTTTCTTAGCTATTTGAGAGCCTATTCTTGAAGAAATTATCGTGTTCTTGAGCGCATACTAGTTCACTCATATCTACTCTTTGTGAGAGTTTTATTCCTGAGTGTTTAAGTGTTTTCATACACTGTAAGGGAGGTTGTTCCCTTGTTGTAAACTCGAAGGAAGTTCTTTGTTCCTTCGTGAGAAGTCTTGGAGTGCGGTATCTCCGAGCAAAGGTGTTGAGGCTCGTGTGATTCGGGTTCTCAAGTTGTATCGGTTTGTTGAGCACCCTTAAGCTTAACGGAGTTAGTGTAGCTCGAGAGAGTCTCTCGGGAGGCTGGATTAGCCACACGTTGTGGTGAACCAGGATAAAATTCGGTGTGCTCCTTCCTTACGCTCTTTACTTTCACGCCCTCGTTTTTAATTTCCTGCGATTTTGTTTTAAACGCTATTTACCCCCCCTCTAGCGTTGGGCCTTTATTCTAACAAAGGCCACGAAGCTTTGGACGATCAGCGCTCAAACCTTCACCAAGCGGTCGGACAACGCCGCGCCTGCCACTGCCGCGCCACGCCGCACTGCCACTGCCGCTGGCCCAGCCGAACCCCAGGCCCGGGCCAACCTCGCCTCCATCGCCGACTCCCTCAACCGGCTGCACTTCAAAGTTGACGGGATGGATGGCTACCTTGAGAGGCTTGACGAGGCGGTCCAACGCCAAGGGTACGCCATGAACGCGTACTTCCAACGCGTTAACTACGTCCCCCCACCGTACCATGGCATGTTCTTTGGGCAAGTGTACGGTGACGAGGACGAAGACGATGCCTCCTACGCCCCGTCAAGCTCTCCGGACGAAGATGAGTTCGACGATGCCATCGATGGGGATGAGATGGACGTCGACGACAACGAAGAAACCGGAGGCGAAGAGGAGGAAGACGAAGACTAGGACGCCCCTAGAATCTCTATCTCTTTTATTTTAATTATCATGTTTTTTTAATGCTTCCGTTGTACTCCGCTTTTCCCCAATTTAATAAATAAAATTATCTTTTATCTTTTTGTTAATGTCAAAAGGGGGAAGAAAAGGGTTATGCATACACTAAGGGGGAACGTCCCTAAAAACGGGATCATTTGATTTTAATATGACTATTTTTTAAAAGCACAAATTAAGGGGGAACTTTTTTCACACTTTTCAAAGTCAAATATCCCCTAGTATGCATATCCCCGTCTTGTTTGCCATTATCAAAAAGGGGGAAATTGTTGGAACACGGGTTTACGCCTATGTCGTACTAAGCCGTGTTCGTTTTATGACAGGTTTTGATAATGCCAAACCGCCGTGACAATAACAAAGTTAAATTGAGCAAAACCAAGGCGAAGGAACATGGCATGATGAACTGAGAACCAAGAACCAAGAATTAAGAACGAAGACTTAGAATTATATTGAGTCGGTTTTAATGTGATCAAGACCGGCACAAACTTTCAAAACATGGCTCTCTAGGCTCATTTCATCAAAATACTTTTTGCATATTCAAAATGGTTTTCTTAAGTCTTAAACCTGCCTAAAAACACTTGGAGTTCGCCCAAACCAAAAACCAAGCCATCCGGCGTTCGGTCTTCGGAAACTGGCGTTCGGCTTTCGGTTATCGGCATTGGTTTTTGGCATTCAAATCAACGAAGTGATTTTCAACTTTTAATTATTGGTTTTTTTTCTGGGCATATTTAAATAGTTCTCCCACAAAAAACGCTTCAAAAACCACCTTTCATTTTTGGTCGTTTAGTAAAAACCATGCGAAACGACATAAACTTGGCTAGCCGTGGTTTTCAACTAAATGACGTGGATTTCAAAATGTTTTACTTGATTTCTTAGCAAAATGCATTGAACAAACATTTTCAATACTTGGTTTTTATTTTGGAGAACTTACATTTTTGACATCGGCTATCAGCTGACTAAACCAACCATGAGTCTGGCTAAACCAGCCCAACAGCGATGTTGGTGTAACCAACAGCGCTGTCTAGATTGGGTAGCTGAAAACCATGGTTTGACGTTAAGTCTTCCAACAGCGATGTTGGATGTTAGACATCGCTGTTGAGCCAAGGTTGGATTTCCAGAAACTTCTAGAACAGCGATGTAGGCTTCCCTACAGCGCTGTCCAACCTAAGCCAAAAATATAGTGCATTGGCAGAAAGTATTTGGACATCGATGTTGACCCAGCAATAGCGCTGTCAGGCCAAACTTCCATCTTCAAAAGTCAGACCTAAACAGCGATGTTCAATAATGAACATCGATGTAGGGACCTGACCGTTGGAAGGAATTTAAGGCTAAAACTTTCCTTGTTTGGAAGTCAACAGCCAAAACAGCGATGTAGGGGTATTGGACATCGCTGTTGGCATGACCGTTGCTTCCCAATTTTCAAAATCCAAGCCTAGAACAGCGATGTCCAAGCCTAGGACAGTGCTGTCTGGGTGAATTTCAGCAGATCCAAATTTAATCAAATCCCACAAATTGTGCCAATCACCCCTTAAATGTTTTGGTCCGTTGGAGCCTATTTTTCCACTATAAAATGGGGTGTTTGGGTCTGTTTTACATATCACATGACTTCACAACTCCTATTCTTTCATTGCATATTATTCATACATTATTCAAAGCTTTTCGAGAGCCATTTTTGTGAAGTTCGTGTTGTGATCTTGAGCGTATTACTTTACTCATATTCACTCTTTTGAGAGAGCCTTGTTCTTGAGTGTTCTTAGTGTTCATAGACATTAAGGGAAGTTTGTTTCCCTTGGTTGTACGAAGGAAAGGTATTTTCCTTCGGGTTGAAGTCTTGGAGTGTGGTATCTCCGAGGAAGTGTTGTTGAAGCTCGTGGGACTCGAGTTCTCAGGTTGTAACGGTTTGTTAAGCACTCGTAAGCTTAACGGAAGTAGTGTAGCTCGAGAGAGTCTCTCGGGAGACTGGATTAGCCACACGTTGTGGTGAACCAGTATAAATCTTGGTGTGCTCCCTTTACGCTTTCTACGCTCTTTACTTTTCACGCTCTTAATTTTTTTATTCCTGCGATTTCTACGATCAAACGCTATTCACCCCTCTCTAGCGTTGGTCACTTATTCTAACAACCTCTCAAGTCCAGAGTCTTTCATCTCCCCCATCACAAGCTCCAACTGATGTATTGAACAAGTTCTTGCAGCTCTACTATGTTTGGAGAGCTTGGAAGGTTGGAAACTCTGTAGATCAGTTGCTTGAATGGGATCAACAACTGGAAAATGAGAAGATCATCAAGAGGTGTCTAGGACTGCCAATCAATTGCTTCTGTGAGTAGATTCTGGATGAGGAATGGGTCTGGCAGAAAACAAATGAAGACCTGTTGCGGAACACTTGACCACCTCTCCACCCTAAGAATATGAAGTGGATGATGACTATATAGCTGTATACACACCCATGTTCATCAACTCAGCTGGTAATCAAACTGAAAACCAGGCTGAGAACATCATTGCTGAAGCACAGACTGACATGGAAGCCGCAGCAGAAGATTTCCAAGTCTTTCCGGAAACCTCCCCCGCTTTTGATACTGTTCTTCCTGATGCTGTCCAGGAGAATGCATCCACTGCTTAGCAAGAACAGAATCAAACATCATCTGAAGAAGAACTTCTGCAATCCCTCCAATTTCAAGTCTAAGAGATTCTCACAACCTCTTGTGAGATCTCCAGTGGACCTGAAATTCTGGAGAAGTGAACAGAGAATCGGTAGAAGTCCACTCCTCCAGAAGATACAGAGGAAGAAGCTCAGGAGGAACCAGTAGTAGAAGCACTGAGAAGCTTTGAAGAAGCTGAAGAAGGAGCTCAAATAGCTAGGCTGGAGGCCACTGAAACTCCAGTTGCTATTTTTGAGCAACAACCTGAAGATGCAGAAAGAGATTCCCTCTCTAGGGATATCTCAAACTATGGGAATGAAGAAACAGAGGAAGAGTCATTGAAGACCCTGAGGATTGATGAAGAAGAGGCTGAGCAAGGCGAAGATGTTGAATCCCTCCCACTGCAACTCTATCAAAGGGTGCCTTCTTCAAATCAGGTAACCAACTTTCACAGCTCTTCCACATCTACCTTTCCGGATGAGATGCCGGAATCCTGGACCAAGAAGATCCAAGGGTTGATTCAGTCAGCCCTAGAGTCTCAGAAAGCCTCTTTTAGGCAAGAACTGGATACAATAGAAGAGAGACATAATCAAACTCTAAAGAAGACTGAAGAGAAATTTAGCTCAAACCTCAAGGAGATAAGTCAATCTCTAGACAAGACTCTTGAGATCATTTCTCTATTCAATAATTCAGTAAGCAATTCCATGATGGCTTATGCCTCTGATTGCCATCTTCAACTCAAACAAGCCATGGAAATCAAGCAACAGATTGCCAGTATCACAACTAGTCTTCAGAAGAAGATGTCACTTCTCCAGATGGACATCAGATCAGCTATGGCAGTGACATCAGCAAACCAAGTGGTAACTCAAGATTACCTAGAGGTTCTTGCTGACAATCAGAAGGAAGCATTCAAGCTTTTCAGGCACTTTAGAACCTTCACTGCCAAACACAAACTGGAGGTGATTGTCCAACCCAAAAGTTTACCTCCAATCCCAAAGCTTCCGATTGAAGCCAAACTAGGAGAACTTGCGTACATTCCAACTCATCTGAACATGACGAAACTGATCTTGGAAGCCCATAAGAGCAATCTGGAGAACTTGATTCAACATCTGTCAAACACTGAGTTTGATGGAACAGAAGTTTTAGGAACCATTGCCTCCCACTTCACAAATGATGTTCAGACAAAGGAGAGATATAAACAATCTCAAGCGCATCAAGGAAGAATGTGGAGTTATGCAAGGCATTGGTGAGGCTGCTGGATCATCCAAGCGCAAGAAGAATTAAAGGTTCTTTTCATCAAAACAGGGGGAAGTCTTGAATAGATTATTTTGTTTTGATGAAAACACCTTTTTGTTTAAACATTAGTTTTTCTTTAAACATTTTTGATATATCTCTTAATTATGCTTGAACATATTTCTTTTAAGTATGATTTTTGAGATTTATTATTGAGTGCATACATTCAGGGGGAATGTAATTCAGGGGGAACATAACTTTTTTGGCTAATAATTGTTTTTGGTAATGAACTACTGATGAACTTCAAGCAATGGATGACGGATACCTCAATTTTTGTACTAGAGTTGGAGATCTCCGATTCAGGTACTCTACGAAATCTGCCTTCTTAAAATGAGTCTTAATCCTTAGTTCATTTCCACTCTCGCTCTAAAGTATTGGTCCTTAGGATTTTTATAATGTACAGGACTTTTGAAAATTAGTACCACTTTTCTTTTAAAAATGAAATTTATATTTTTTTTGGTACTACCTCGTCCTATTTAGAAATTAGAACTTTAGGGAATGAAAAATGATAGTCTTTATTTTGGGCCTTAAGAACCCAATAGGAATAATTTCTCTTTAGTGCATAGATTTTTTTGGGCCATTCTTTTGGGCTTAGCCAAACCAAAACAGTTACATTTTTTTTCAAAACAAACGAAACAGATTTCATTTGAAACAGTTTCAACACATTGGTGACCAGTAAAAGATTCCTGCAACTTTTCAAAATTCATCTTCTTGGGAGTTGAAACTCTTTTACTCTCACCGTTCCAACTACCCACTAAATGGAACCCGTGAACCTCCTCTTCTTAACTTCTCTTCCTATTTAAACCGAGTCATTCCAATCCATTCCTATCACAAACAATTCTCTTATTATGAAAAGTCTTCAAACTTACTGTCTGAGAAAAACACCAAGAAAAATACCCTCAATGAAGAAATTTTTCTTCCTCACCCTCATAGACGGCAATGGAGAACGCCTGGTGGGAAGAAAATATATTCAAGGTGTATGGTGGGAATCTCGGCAGTAGAGAAGGTGTTTGGTGGGAATCTCGCATATTTTTGCATCTCGCCACACATCTTCTCTGGAACAACACTCTCTCCATTTTCGTTTCATCTTTTTCTTTTTCTATTTTTTGCTTTTCAAATTTTCTTTTTAAAATTTTTTTTCTTCTCCTACTTTCATCTCTCTCCCCTTTTTTCTTTCTTTTCTTTTATTTTCTTTCAAAATTGATTTTAAATCTCCGCTTCTCCTCCCTCTTCCCCTTTCCCTACCTCTTTTCAATTTTTTTTGTTGCAGCTGTGATGCAAACCTCTCTCTCTTTCTTTATCACAGCTGCAAGACAGGCCTCTTTCCCGGCTTGTCTACAACTTTTCTGGTTTCCAACATTCTGGTTTTCTTTCCCCTTCTTAAATTTTTAAAACTTTTTCTTCCCTAGTCAAAATCTTTTTCTTTCTTTAAACTCTTTTAAAATTTTATTTTTTTATTTCCTTCATTTTTAAAAACCTTTTTTTTCTTTCTTCCTTTTCACAATCTTTTCTCTTTCCCAAAACCTTTTCTTGTCCTTTCTGTCTTTCTCTTTCCTTTCACCAGCTCCTCCTTTCCCCCATTTCTTTTTGTTTTTGTTTTTGCTTTTTGGAGAGATGTTGATTCCAAGATCTCAATATCCACTCTGGATATTGAGATCCATCAAACACAATGTCATATGAACTTCCAAGCAACATCTGCTGGAAATGAATGCAGCAAATGGTAGAAATATCACAAATCTCAAGACAAGATTTGGTTTAGGAACTGTTGTAATTTGAATTGTAATTGTTTAAGAGTTTTTGTTAACAAGCTGTATATTATGAGAAACTAAAAGAAAGTTATAAAATTAGTTCTTAATACAGCGACCGGAACTCTTAAACACTTGTTTGTCATCATCAAAAAGGGGGAAATTGTTGGAAAAATATCGTAGATTTTCATGATGATGTATTTAGATTGTAATAGGGACTTTAGGTCACCCCCAATATTCAATGTAATTTTTCTTTTTAGAAATATTGTTAAAACCGAGTTCTTGAGATTTCCAATAAAGCTTGTGATATTTCACTGTGTGGTTTGAGGTCAATCTTTGAAGACTTAATCAAATTCAGTGATATGGAAATTGGAATTCTTGATCGGATATGTAAGAGACAAGTGAGGAATTCTCAAAGCAGTTGATTACTTTGAAGATTCTCTAATCCGGAATACTCCATGATAACCGGATGTCTCGCTACAACCCGCTGAAGGCTAAGTTATCCGGATTGGAACACTAGCGCGGATCTCTTTCTCACCTGGAAGTCTAAGAATGACTTTTCCGGAATTGTCAGCAAAGAACCGGATGTCTCAAGGAAGACCGGAACTCTCAGAATCAGACTAGTGAGAATAGACTCAGAAAAATTATCTAAGTCTTGAATGAAGAAATTCTACCCGTTGGTAAGGAAAAATCAATCTCTTGATTTTCAACGGCTAGATTGAGGATATTTAAGCTGATTAAAAAACAAATGACTTGAAGACAAAGTCTGGACTTCTCAAATTGATGAAGAGCTCGCCCAGAATTCCTAAATAAACACAAGAAGACAAAATGAGTCCTCCACTCATTAAAGAGCTACAGTCCAGAATTCTTGAACAACAGCTAAAGGACGGATTCTGTGGAAAAGGAATCCTTCTTCAAACAATTGGGTATGTCCAAACACCCATTCCAATGAAGAATCCTCAATCACAATCTTCGTTCAAATTGAAGCGAGCAAATGAAATGGATAGTCTATTCCCTTCAACGGATAGATCATCCAATCCAGCTATATATAGCTTCCATGGAAGACTGGAGAAGAACACACACCAAGACGTAGACCAATACGAACAAACATAACAACAAGAACAAAGCTATCTCATTCACAGTTAGCCAAAAAGCTTGATAAAGAAAGATTTCTAAACTCCTTATCGAGAAGCAAACTTCTCCTCCTTCCAAAGAGCTATATATAGTGTAAACACTTGAAGGTTTCCTTGCCTCAAGTACCACACCACGTTGAAGGATACAACTTTTAATCAAACTTCTTGATTAAAAAGGGGGTACATCAACTTTCCTACAAGTTGATCTTGCAAGTCCTATTGTTCGGATCTTGCAGTTGTTGAAGAAGCGTGACCTTCGAAGGAACAACAAAGCCAGCACGAGTGCAGTAGAAACATTGGCCTTGCGAAGATATACCGTGTAGAAATTCACACAAGTGTAATTGTTGGTTCATTATTCAACAACCAACTACATAGTGGATTTTGAGGACGTAGAAGGATTACCCCACCTTCAAACCTCGTTAAAGTTTGCGTGTCTCTCTCTTTTATCTTTACTCATACTTGCAATTATATTAACTGTGAAACTAACCCATCCATATTGATTACTGCTCCTATAACCCACCAACTTCCGCACACAATCTAAAGTTCACAAGGACTCTAGATTAACACTCATTTTCATGTTTTCAAAAGAAATGAAAAAGTTTTAAATTTGTTAACAAAGTCTATTCACCCCTCCCCTCTAGACTTTGTATCTCACCACTTTGGGACCACCAATGTGATAAAATCATTCACTTAAATAGTAGATTTGTGCACGTCCACACATCACCTCCATCTTAGTAATCTCCAGAATAGGCTCCACATTTATTCTCTCTCATACCTACGTGTAGAAAGATGAAAAAGTCTACACGCTCTGTAATGAAGCTGAGTGGTACCATGGCACAACAAAAGAATTCAAAGAATAATTTTCTTAAACAATACTAATCATATATGTTCAAGCATTTCTTTTTCATATTTAAATTCGTATTTGTTATTTTAACAAGGATAATGAACATAGTCGATTCTTAAATATCATCATTCAAACTATGTAGTAATCAGTCCATAATTCACAATAATCACATGTCACTTTTGTTATCACAATATTCATCATTTGTTACACATAATTTCATATCAAATTTTATCACAATTTGCTCCTAACTTATTCTAAGTTAAGGCTAAATCATATCATTGCTCTTAAACTATTTTTAGTCTAAGTCAAATTAATATTGATAACATAGCTCTTAAATTATAACTAGTCTAAGGCAATATTTCTAACCAGGCTCTTAAACTATAAATAGTTTAACACAAGAATTGATAATCCACCCTACGAGTCATGTGGATTACGTACCAACCAAACAGTGAACTGTCGGGCGAGTGATATCTGGTCTTGATCCTGTATGTACGTTTTAACCCCAAATTAAGAATTGGTCAAGGAGGTATATCTTAAAGTTCTTCTAGATATCCTTAATAATCATCATCAATTTCCAAGTGGGTATATCTTAGAGTTTTTCTAGATATCCTTAACAATACACATCATTTTCATAATCATCAATATATTCATTTTTAATCATGATTCAATCATTCATAATTATTATTTTAATAAGAATATTCATCAAAGTCTGATCATGAACAACATCAATAATAATCATCACAATATTCAATAACAAATAGCGGCCTAGCATCGAGTGTTAACATCCTAGCTTATCATCATACATCATATAAGGTTCTTAAGTTGTCCAAACATCATTTTTTTACTCTAAGGAATTGTATTTGTATTGATGAATCAAACATAGGACTTTATATCTTCAAAAATAGCATTTTTGTACTTAAAGTTTTCGTAACAGTCGACTGTTGGATCTGCACGTTCGTTCGCAGGAAAAACGGAGTTACTCTTCATCATCTCCAACCTTCGATCCAATTTCTCAAAACACCATAAAAGCTTCTAAGCTTTAAACTAACTTTATAAAAATGTTTTCTAACGTCCATAGATCATTCAAAAATGATTTATTTGAAGCTTTATCAACAAAACAAATTTGGTGATTGTGAATATCAAAATATTTATATTTCCAAATATATATGAATCAATAAGTTCAAGGATCATTCCAATGCCTTCTAAAGTTGTTTAAAATCATGGTACAGACCTGGAAATCGACGATATGAAGCTCAATGAAGGAACGGGAGCGAAAACAACGTTGGAAATCACAAAACCCGCCACTTCCTGTCACCACTTTACCAGCCCCGGTTTTCGGGCCATATCTCCTTCGTTACTCAACGAAATTGCAAACCGTTTGAAAATACGGATTCGTTAGACATAAGGCTACAACTTTCGTTTAGAATCCAGATTAAAATAACGACGTTTAGAGGGTGTAAACATGCTCACAAGTGGGCTGATTTGCACAGGGGATGTTTTCTTCAATCAACTTTCTAGGGCAACTTCCGGCAAGAACCATGGCTACCTTCGGCGACTTTAATGGCGATCACTTGCGGATTATTCTCCATACAACAAGGAGTAGAATAGAAAAAGAATGGGAGAGAATGATGGAGAATTGAAGAAGATTCAACCTCCTTAAATAGGCCAAGAATGGAGAGAGTTGTGTGGTTTTGATGCTTCCTTAGTGATTCATGCTTCGTAGTGGACAAGGCGGCTAATCATTGGAAATTTCACACGTTTTTCCCTGATTGGGACTAAAATGGTCCCAGCCAGGGTATACGTTTTGGTCCAACTTTCTTCAAATTGAAATCTGATTATATCGTTGTGGTCGACAGTCAAGCTCTACGTGACAATATAATTTTCACATTTTTTTTAAATACTTTTTCTGACACCATATTTTAAGGTGTTGACTTTGACAAAGTCAAAATTGAACTAATTGATATATAATTAAAAGTACTCTCATATTCAATCATTGTTATTCAACTTAAATAACTTATTTCAATATATCACTTTACAAAAGCTAACATCTTTAACCACTACTCATTTTTATGAAAATTACATATTTAAAATGTCATAACTGAAAATATGTACATCAGATTTATTCATAAAATATATCGTTGGATTCGTCTCTTCGAGACCTATCCATAGAAGTCAATCTTAACAAAAAATCATTGACTCCAAAAATTTCTTCATTTTTGGTCAAACATAGAAATAATATTTTGTTGGGTTAAGATATTGTTTCTAAAATACTTTTATTATATAATAACTTTTAGACCATGTTTTGGGGCGTTACAGAGAGCATCCTACTCTTCGGCCTTTGCGCCCACCATATACTCAAAACGGTCCTCAAACTGTGGTGTGTGCCCCCAATACGGGCAGACTCTGTGAAATAACTCCACACACGCCGCGCGAAGCTCTTATGATAGAAAATACGTGCAATGGTCTCCGTCCTGGCGACGAACAACAGTGGCATTAAGAGGGCAAAACAAAGCCAAATCTCGTCAGGACATCATCAGTGGGAAGGTGCCTCTCTAGCACGCGCCACGCAAAAAAGGACATCTTCCAGGGTAAGTGCTTCTGCCAACACCTCTTAAGCACAATGTCCTCAGCATCATCATCCCTCCTCGGTCGAAGAAGCTTCTTAGTTGAAGCAAGAGTGAACTTCCCGTCCGTAGAAGGGGTCCATATCGGAATATCAGNTCCCGTCCTGGCGACGAACAACAGTGGCATTAAGAGGGCAAAACAAAGCCAAATCTCGTCAGGACATCATCAGTGGGAAGGTGCCTCTCTAGCACGCGCCACGCAAAAAAGGACATCTTCCAGGGTAAGTGCTTCTGCCAACACCTCTTAAGCACAATGTCCTCAGCATCATCATCCCTCCTCGGTCGAAGAAGCTTCTTAGTTGAAGCAAGAGTGAACTTCCCGTCCGTAGAAGGGGTCCATATCGGAATATCAGCGTGCTCTGAATCAAGAGATGGTGGCTTAAGATGCAACCTCCGGAGGAGATCAGGGGCTAGAGCAACATGGTCAAACATAAAATCAGAGCGATACATCTCGGCCACTCCATCAGCCCAATATCCACTACAGCCATCAACCTGGCGATGCAACACACCCAGTCCAGACCATGTATCCCACCAGAAGTTAGACGTGTCAGAGAGGACACGCCATCAAATCATAGGCTCAACCACGGCCCTAACATCGAGCATGTGTTTCCAAGTGTGAGAATCATTCTCTCCGCGCCATTTGGACACAGGATGGACGCGACTACAGTACTTAGCTCTCATGAATGTCGTCCATATAGTATCCCGAGTCCGAAAATTCCACCAAAGCTTTGCCGAGCAAGACTTAGCCAAAGTCATAAAATCAAGGAAACCGACCCCACCCTCTCGCGTAGGCCGCGCCAAAGTCTTCCAAGATCCCCAATGATAACGTCGAGTCCCTCCCATACCGGACCAAAAAAATCGTGTCATAATAGATTCCATCTCCCAGATTACTGTCCTAGGAGGGAAATGTGTAGTTAGCAAATGAGTTGGGATAGCCTGAAGCACGCTCTTAATCATAATGGCCTTATAACGCCCCATCCACATACTGCACTTACCTTGCATCTTCTTCAAAATAGGCTCAAAATAATGTATGCACTTCCGGCCATGGTAGATCGGACAACCAAGATAGGTGAATGGAAGCACATCCAAAGCACACCCAAGAGTATCTCTAACTCGCTCCAACACAGGTGCCAGTGCCTTAGGATGCATATAGAAAGCACTCTTGTGAAAGCTAACAGCCTGCCCAGAAACCTGCTCATAAGAATGTAAGACCGTCCGAACTCTCTCCAAGGTGTCACCCTTCACGGAAGTAAAGATGACAATGTCGTCAGCATATGCAAGATGGTGGATACGTAGCTGAGAGTATGAACAAGGATGGGGGAAAGTGGGTCACCCTGCTGCAAGCCCCGCGTCGAATGAAAAAAGCCTTCCTGAATCCCATTAATAATAGCAGAATACCATATATTCAAGATGGCCCGCTAAACAAAATCGATCCAAGTCTCCGAAAAACCATACTTGCGCAGCACAGACATCAAGAAATACCAGGAGACTCGATCATAGGCCTTCATCATATCTAACTTCAGAATGACATCTTCATTATCCACCCGCATCCCATGACACATCTCTTGGGCCAAAATAATATTTTCTGTGATAGATCGCCCCGCCACAAAACCACTCTGATGAGGTGAAAGGAGCCGAGGAAGCACACAAGCCTAACGAACCACCATATCTTCGTGATAATCTTGTTGCAATAATTGCACAGATCGATGGGTCTAAAGTCCGCATAGGTCTCAGAATTGGGCTTCTTCGGTAGCAGAACAATAGTAGTGTGTGTAAGAGAACGGGGCAGATCACGTCCCAAGAAAAAGACCTGCACCATCGCCTATAAATCAGAACAAATAATTGTCCAAGAGGCCTTATAAAAGGCCCCAGTAAAGCCATCGAGCCCCACCGCACTCTGGGGATCCAAAGTGAAGACCGCACTCTTGACCTCATCCATCTCTGGTACAGCACATAACTGATTATTATCATCATCAGTGACCAGCCGTGGGATCATATCTAAGCTCGAGGAAGTGGCTGTAGGGTTTTCCATGAACATGGACTGAAAAAAGGTGATCGCTCTAGTCGCTATCTCTACTCTCTCTTCGTGACCCACTGACCACGATCATCTTGTATGCGGTGAATATAAAGCTTCTGACGGTGATCCTTCACGACAGAGTGAAAGTATCCCGAATTCCTCTCCCCGTCCAAGACCCATTTTGCATGGGCTTTCACTTTCAATTTAGTCATTTTCCTCAAAAATTATGGTGTGCCTTATTGCCTTACATAAATGTTTTTAAATTATTACTCTCTCCGTCCATACAATCCACGTACAAAATCTTGTGACTTTTAAAATATGTTTATTTCAAATTAGTATAGAAACAAAAAATAGAAATTGTATATTTAAAAAACTATATCAAAAGTTTTACAAAATAAGAAGTAACAAGAGTGTTTTATTTTATCTAATGATCAATAAAAACCTACAAATAAACAAAAATTATTGAAAGATCGTAATAGTAAGTTAAAGAGATATAAAACAATATGATATAAATGATAGATATTATAGCGGGAATAATAAAAAAAATATAAATCCGAACTTATAAAATGTTTAGATTTTACAATAGAAATAAAATAAAAAAAATTAAATCTTTGAGAAGCTGGGAAGTTGGGACAGAGCAAAACGTACAAATTTCTCGAACGGAGCAAGAGTCGAACGGGCGAGCAGAGGCATCAAAGGAGTTGTAGGCCGAGCCAGAACAGTACCTTGAACAGGAAGTTAGGAAAGCGAAGTCGCTGGAGCTTTCCTTAATGTAGTATTGCCCGCCTCCCGCACTGGCAAACATGGGCAATCTCCTCCGAGGATAAAACTACAACGTGCAAGGTCTTGAGCAGTAGAACCGTGCACCAGCGAACGAGAATGACAAGGAGTTATTCACTGGAAACTGATCATGGACGTGAGAAATTAAAGTAAGCGTTGGACGGAGAGTTTTCCACTATCGAGTCTCTGAAGCAGTGCTCCGTTTAAATAGAAGCAAGCCTTGACGAACGGACAACCGTGGAGGAGAAACCGAGGGGTCATGAGGAGACCCTTCAATGGTATGCATGCATTCTATTCATTGCTTTATTAATAACGATTTAATACCTAGTTATTTACGAAGCCAAACAGGTTTGATTCGGTCTCGTAAAAAATTGCCACGTCGCACCTCGCCTCGCCTCGCCCTGCCCTGCCGCGCCGCGATGTCGTGACGTGTCGAGCCGGACGAACGGCGGCGGCACGCGAGGAGTCCTCTCTTGTTCCTTTCATAAAGTCAATTAAATGCTTAAGTTTAAATATGGAAATACGAAAGGTTCAAGATCCGGTGTGGGACAAGGGTTTTTACTCTTTCCACGTGTTCGACTTTGTGAATTAATTTCTCATTCACCCGAGCACCATTTTTGGCATGTAATATGTCTCACTTACGAGATTAAATGTCCATAATTACTTCAGAAAATAATTTGTGGACCCTACCGAATTTGTAACGCCACAAAATATGCCCTAAAATTTATTATAAAACAAAAGTAGTTTTTGTCCAATAAGGAATATTTATACGTTTGACCAAAAATAAATGGATTTTTCAAAAATATGACTTTTTGTTAAAAATTTATTTTTATGGATATGTCTTGAAGAGACGAATTCAACGGTACATTCTATGAACCAATCTGATTTATAGATTTCAAGCTATGGCGATTTTAAATATTAAAATTTGTAACTTTGACCCATAAAATAAACTCAATTCAAAAGTGATTTCACAAGATTAGAAATATTAATCTTGGCACTTGACAACAACATATTTATCATTTGGATTTAATTCATATATTTATATCTCATTCATACTATAAAATTTATTTATGACTGAGACAGACCCGAACACTAAGAAAAATAAAAGTTCTCAGAAAAATATTTTGATTATGTCAAAATTCTAGTTTTGACGGTCTGCTTCCAAAAACACAAACCGTTTTCAATTCGGAGCAGTTTAGGCGAAAAAAGCGCGTACCGTTTTAGCCAGTTTATCAGTTACGGAGTAGGAGAATATTTTAAAATCCCCAAACCTCCAAATCACGTAGAGACATCTTCCCTATCCCTTCAAATCCTCAATCAAACCACCTTAGGAACCCCACCAACATATACCTCCAAATTACTTTTCCTATAATATCACCCTACCACCACCATCATCATCCTCATACATCATCCACCATCATTCATTCATTCTTCTCTTCATCACCCCACTTCTCTCTCTGTCGGCAGCCCTAAGAAAGAAAAGAAAACAGCAATGCTCCATGGTTGTATACTAAGGAAGAAGAAGAAGAAGCAAGAAATCATTCAAAATTTCCAAATCTTGAGTCCAAAACGCAACAGCGACTTCATCGTCAATTCTGTAATTTTCTATCCTTTTTCTCGAATTATTTATTGTACCAAAATCGTAGCCCCAGACGTTACGAATCCAACCCAACAAACGGTTTGTGATTTCGTTAAGTAATGAAGAAGATATGGACAAAATACCGGGACTGCGCCAGTGGTGGCGAGCTCCTCGGGATTTGCCATGTTTCTTCACCATATTCATATTGTTTCATTCCAAACACTTACCATAAACTCTCTAAAGATTATTAGGAACATCTGGAAGGTATCGTAGAGAAGGTTCGGTGTTGGAAAATTGAAGTTAATGAGTTAATCGTCGGAATCGTTGTTCATCGACATATATTTATATATGTACTCGGTATTATTACCGAAATGTTATATATATTTATATATTTGTATTTTAATTACATAAATGACTAATACATATTTTGGAAATTTATATCTCAGTAAGAAAAAGAATGTTTTTCAAAATATTAAATTTTTATAATTTAATGTTTTTGAAAATAATTTAAATGGCCTTTTATAACTTATTGAGATTTAACTAATATATTTTGGAAATAATGATTTATAAATTTTGGAAATTTTATTTCCAGGTTTATAAATGTTAAAAATAACTACTGGAAGTTGAAATTTAATTTTCTTGATTTTTTCAAAATTTTTTTGAAATTTTATTGCCTTATTCAAAATAATTTTGTAAAAGGGGCATTTTGGTCAATTGGAATACTATGGATTTTTTTATGCTGGCAGAATATCTAGAATGCATAAAATGGTCTTTATAAAATTTTATTAGATTTATTTGGACATCTAATTTAATTTTATGAGTTTTAGAAAATATTTACTACCGTAGTATTTTTCTAGAACTGTCTGGGGTGAGCGCGGTTCACCCGGTGTATGTATATCTCTATTGCATGTGTGGATGTATGATATGCATGGTGGATGATTGTGGCTATAGTTTATTTGATTATAATACGGCCTGCGTGTCGTGCCTTATCTCTTAAACTCTTGTTGTAAATCTATTTCTCTCTCTTTCCTCAACCGAGGATTCTTTTCTCACGTGGTGGTTAGAAGACAAAAAGATTTGATGACCGTTTGGGGAAATCTAAAAGAATGGAGATAGCCCGAAGTCTAAGTGCCCGGAAGCTAGTGGGATCTATCGTTTTATTTTTCTTTTAGGGGCCACAATCATTACACGTTTATTTACTGCATTTTGTGAATGCATGTTGAATGTATGTTGAACGCTAGTAATGGACATGTGCACGGCCATGTCGATAGGTGAGATCGAAATTATAAATCCCTCACGAATATTAAGTCTGTTGCCTTCTGATGCCCGGCACCTATCTGGCTAATGTGCACTGTCATGTACTCAGCCTCAGCAGAGCATAGTACGGTGTATTTTAAGCTGGTTACGAGAACCGCCATAGCGTGGTTGCTGTCGCACGTTGGGTTAGACTTAACTGAGTCTCGGTCAAATGGATGGACGACTCAGAGGCAGTAAGTTGGGGTCATCAATGACAAGTCGAATGATTTTACTCACTCATCCAGCCAGAAGTTGGATCTTTATGATTTAATTGGAACTTTGTTCCTAACCAAAGTAGTCTGCTTGTAAGACGTGCCTCAGCCAATTACAAGTATGGTGAAAAGGTGTCCTGGTCCGATTGTAGTAATATTGTTCGCCCAACACCAGACCAAGAGCTGAGAGCCCGGCTCATCAGTTGGAACTATGTTCCTACCTAAATAGTTGTCTTGTGGAGTAACGCCCTAGCGGAACGCAAGATAATGAAATATGGATCTTGGCCCACTAGATGTTTCGCCGGAAATCTCCGAATCAATATCGAGGGTTATTGATTTGTTAAAAATAGTGGGAGATAATTAATTAAAGGCCTAATTAATTATTAAACATAATAGATAACCTAGTTTGCAAAATTTTCTGTAGATGGCAAACAACAACAACCCTTTCAACCTGCGTTACATCTTGGAAAACAACAAGTTATCTGGGACCAACTTTCTTGACTGGGAGATGAACCTCCGAATCGTTCTTAACTGTGAGAGGAAACTCTACATCCTCGAAACGGATCCTCCCAAGACCCCTGATGCTAATGCTCGTGCTTCCGAACTCACTTCCTTCAAGAAGTATGAGGACGACGCGCGAGATGTAAAGTGTATCATTATGACCAGTATGACCGCGAAGCTCCAAAGGCTCCACGCGGACATGGAAGTGTGTCCTATGATACAATGCTTAAGAGACCTTTACCAGGGTCAGCCCCAAAACTCAAGTATTTACATTATCGAAGTCAATATGTTTGATATCACCTCTTGGGTGATGGATACTGGATGTGGTTCTCACATCAGTACTTCTATGCAAGACTTGCATGAATGTAGACAATTGACGGAGGGAGAGATACAACTAAAAGTCGGCAATGGCGCACTCGTCTATGCGTTGGCTGTCGGAACCTATAGTTTATCTCTACCTAGTGGTCTTATGTTGCATTTGAATAATTGTCTGTTTGTACCTAGTATAAGCAGAAACATTATTTCTGTATCCTGCCTTGACAAAGCAGGATTTTCGTTTGTTGTAAAAGACAAAACTCTTTCTGTCTTTAGAAATGATATATTTTATGCAAGTGCAAAAATGACCAACGGTCTCTATGTCCTTGACATGGATACCGCAATATATAACGTAGATGTTAAGAGAAACAAACCTAACCGTTTTAATCTCGCGTACCTATGGCATTGTCGTTTAGGCCACATTAACGAGAAACACATATCTAAGTTACATCGGTCAGGTGTACTTGATTCATTTGACTTCCAGTCATATGATGTATGTAAGTCTTGTTTACTTGGTAAAATGACAAAGGCTCCATTCACCGGTCACGGTGAAAGGGCGAGTGACTTATTGGGCCTCATACACTCCGATGTCTGTGGTCCAATTAGCACTGTAGCTAGAGGTGGTTATTCTTACTTCGTTACATTTACTGACGACCTTAGTAGATATGGATATGTGTATCTCATGAAACACAAATTAGAATGCTTTGACAAATTCAAAGAATTCAAGAACGAAGTAGAAAACCAATTAGGCAAAAGTATTAAGACCCTCCGCTCAGATCGAGGAGGTGAATACTTAAGCTTGGAGTTCGATGACTATCTGAAAGAGCATAGGATCTTATCCCAACTCACTCCTCCAGGGACACCTCAGTTAAATGCAGTGTCTGAGAGGAGAAATCAAACTTTGCTAGACATGGTCCGGAGCATGATTAGTCTGACAACATTTCCAGAATCATTTTGGGGATATGCATTGAAAACAGCAGCACACAACTCAACAGAGTTCCATCTAAAGTTGTCGAGAGCACACCATACGAACTATGGCGTGGGAGAAAACCGAGTTTCTCGTACTTTAAGATTTGGGGCTGTGAAGCTTATGAAAAACGTCTCATGACGTCTAGTAAGTTGGAGCCTAAATCTGATAAAGTAATTTTTGTGGGATACCCCAAGGAAACTAGAGGGTATGAGTTCTATCATCCATCCGATAACAAAATCTTCGTTGCTCGGAATGGAACCTTCCTTGAGAAGGAGTTTCTTTCTGCTATTACTAGTGGGAGAAAGGTAGACCTAGAAGAAATTCGAGAACCACAAGAAGAAGTCCCGATAGTGTTGGAACCGGAGCAAAGAGATCAAGCAATTGAAACTCAAATTGCTCAAGATATACCATGTAGGTCAGACCGATTACGTAATCCTCCGATTAGATATGGATTTCTCATGTCTGATGAAGGTGATGTCTTGTTGGTAGATCAAGGCTAACCAGAGACCTACCTCGAGGCAATTACATGCCTCGAATTCGATCTATGGCTCGAAGCCATGAAATCTAAAATGGAGTCTATGTACACAAACCCAGTCTGGACCTTGGTTGATGCGCCCGAAGGGGTAAAACCCATTGGATGCAAGTGGGTCTTCAAAAAGAAGACAGACGTAGACGGGAAGGTTCATACCTTCAAAGCTTGATTGGTAGCAAAAGGTTATAGGCAAATCCACGGAATTTGTTAGAATAAGTGACCAACGCTAGAGGGGGGTGAATAGCGTTTGATCGCAGAAATCGCAGGAATAAAAAATTAAGAACGTGAAAAGTAAAGAGCGTAGAAAGCGTAAAGGGAGCACACCAAGATTTATGCTGGTTCACCACAACATGTGGCTAATCCAGTCTCCCGAGAGACTCTCTCGAGCTACACTACTTCCGTTAAGCTTACGTGTGCTTAACAAACCGTTACAACCTGAGAACTCGAGTCCCACAAGCCTCAACAACCTTGGTCGGAGATACCGCACTCCAAGACTTCAACCCGAAGGAAAATACCTTTCCTTCGTACAACCAAGGGAAACAAGCTTCCCTTAACGTGTATACAACACTAAGACACTAAAGAACAAGACTCTCCTTTAGAGTGGATATTGAGTAAAATATATACGCTCAAGAACAACTCAAACTTCACACGAATTGGCTCTAAAAGCTATGGAAAATGATGTTGTTTGAATGCAATGATAATATGAATATTGTGAAGTGAATTGGTATGTAAAGCAGACCTAAACACCCCTTTTTATAGTGCCAAAATAGGCTCCAACGGACCAATGCATTAAAGGGGTGATTGGCTTGATTTATGGGGTTGATTAAATGAGAATCTGCAGGATATTGGCTTCCCATCGATGTTTGGAACTTACCCATCGCTGGTAAGCCAATTTTCCTTCAGTTTTGAAGCCAACGGTCACCTACCCATCGATGGGTAAATTCTTCCCATCGCTAGGTGAGAGGTTGACTTCCAAACAAGGAAAGAATCAGCCTTAAATGACTCACAACGGTCATGCCTAACCACCGATGGGTATGCCCTCCCATCGCTGGGTTCCCATCGATGGGTAAAGGTTCCCATCGCTGGGAAGGGGCATTCTGCCTTGTGATAATGTTGGACCAAGGCTTGAACAGCGATGGGTAGAACTTCCCATCGCTGTTTGGCATGGTTCTGGAAGTTGGTTTGGCTTAGGGACCGCTTACCCATCGATGGGAAGATCTTCCCATCGCTGGGTGGGTGGTTAGCCAAAAACCCATGGTCTTTGCCTTAACCACAGCNTCGTCGGGGGAGGAGGACGGAGCATAGGAGTTATCCTCCTCGTCCTCGCCTTCATAGTTTTGGCCGAGGAAGGTGCTGTCAAAGGGCGGCGGGACGTAGTTGATGCCGCGGAAGAACGCCCTCATGTCGTGGTGTTGGCGTTGCAGCGTGCTATCCATCCGCTCCAAGTATTGGCCCATGCCGTCCACGGTGATGGTTAGCCGATTCAGAGTATCGGCTATCGACTGTAAGGAGGCCTTGGCGGGAGCGGGGGCTGGTGGCCGACTTGGTCCTGCGCCGGTTCTGTCACCGGACTTCTTCCGGAAGGTGCTGTCTTGGATGATCCAAATCTTCGTCATCTTCGTATCCGGGCCGGCGATGTGGATGTCGGAGGCAACGATGAGATCCATGACGAGAAAGGCATATGGCAAACTCCTCTCGGTGGCGATGGAGGCGCAATCCGCCATGTGAATCATGACGTATTTTGCCCAATTGATCGAGGCGCCATGGGTGATAGCATGAACCGCCTTGAGATCCTCGTTGAAGAGAGATGTGTGGCTACTGTCCCGGGGGCGTAGAATTCGGGTGAGGATGTAGAGAAGAAGACGCTTCTCCGGCGGGGCTGAGTGGATTGTTGGTGCGCCGCTGTGACGGATGAGGTTGGTGATCCCAAGCTCTCGGATGACCATCGCCTCGTTGTTGAGGATCCAATCATCTCCACCATATGTTGCGATATCGTCACCGCGGGTGGGCAGCCCTGCGACCCGAGCGAAGGTAACCAAATCAATCTCTATGTCGTAGAGATTGATGCTACTGCGAATGGTGTCCCCGTCCCGGCGGAGATTTGAGTAGAAAGCTCGGATGTAGGCGGGATTGTAGGATTGACGGCTTCTGGAGACGAACGACCACAAACCCGACTCTTTGAGTTGATTGTCGAGGTCGTGGTACCCCTTTTGTTGAGGGTATAACTCGGGTAGCACCCTAGGCGGAGAAATAGGACGCTTGGCGAAGTGCAAGAGAAACCGGGTGAGTTCCTCCTCTGACCCGAACTCAAGAAACGAGCCGTCCAGGTAGGGAAACTGCGGGGGCGCTGATGTCGAAGCCTCGGCGGTGATCTTCTTCTTGGATGCTTTGCTCTTGGACTTTCCTCCGGCCATTGTGGTGTTTATGAAGAAAAGGAATGAATTTGGCTTAGAAGTATGAAATTTGGATGTAGATTTGTGATTAGGAATGAAAAAGCATGATGTATATTTATAGGAAAAGAGGAGAAAACGTATTTGGTTCAAAAAATACGACTGTTGGGCATTTAATTTGTTGCCCAACGGTCAAAAATTTTTGAATCGCAGCAGGCTTCCTAGCGATGGGTAGAACTTCCCATCGATGGGAAGGTCGCCACTGGAGAGCGAAGGAGAAAAACAAATTGCCTTCCCAGCGATGTGTGGATTCTCCCATCGATGGGAAGGTGGATTCTGGAAAGTGAAAACGAAAGCCTTCCCAGCGATGTTAATACCATCCCATCGCTGGGTTGGTGATCTTTGGAATCCGATAAAAAAATTTTTTAAAAAATAGTGTCAAACACCCAGCGATGGGAGTGGGTTCCCATCGATGGGTAGGGAGGTTCTGGAAAAAATTATTTTTGACAAAAGTCCTTCACCCAGCGATGGGGTGAGATACCCATCGATGGGTAAGGTGTTTCTGGAAAAAAACGTTTAAAAGATTTTAAAAAAAAGAGTCAATTACCCATCGATGGGAAGAAGCACCCATCGATGGGAAGAGGGGTTCTGGAAAATGAAGACTTCCCTCCCAGCGATGGTATAACCCACCCATCGCTGGTTCCCCCTGATTTCCAGAATTCTTCACTTCGAACCGTCCCTGCAAAAAATAACACTTTGGTACCCAAAGTATGTCTATGGGTCCTTGGGGGTTAGTTAACCTTTATTGCCCACGCACACACCCAAAACTCGTTTCCTTACACACACACACACACGATTCGATGATCGTTTAGGAGTTACCTTGGCCAACCCATGATCTCGTGGTTGGCGGGTTCCAGTCTACCTGAACGGAGTGCCGATATCTCGGTGTGATTTGTGTTGGTTCCGGTAACGGAATGTGGACTTTCTTCTTTTCGTCAAAGTAGAAGAAATAATACGGTTTCTTTTGTGCATTATTCTGTGGAGATTGTTTATGATACGAATGTCCTATTCTAAAGGATTTCTTTTTGTTAGCACCAAATATGTTGTGTGTTTTATTATAGGTGAGATGCCTATGTCTAGTAAAACACACGGGAGCTATATGTCCTACCCTATTGCAATAATGGCATACTACGTTTGGGTTGAACATATGCCTAGGTTGATAATAGCTAGGGGGTCTAACCATATTCATTCTATTTTGAGAAAAGGATAGTTTATGTACGTTTTCAAAAGAATCATTTCTAGGTGTCCCCATGTTATTTCTCCTATTTTGAGAAAAATTATTATTATGCATAAAATTATTTTTCTTAGGTTGTCTACCATGAACATTTTCATTCCTAGGTTTTAGTTTAGGTTGTCTAGTGTCCTTAGGTTGACTAGGTTTTCTATTATCCTGATTTTTAGGTTTCTTACGTTGAACCTTAGATGGTTGTCTAGGTGGTGGCTCAACGTTTTCTTTAACCTTAGCATCATTTTTATTGAAACCTATTCCTTCCTTAGAAAAATGCATGGTGTCAAGGAGCAAATTTAAATCTTTGTGCGGAGTATTAAATTTCTTGACCGTACTCTCAAGTTTTGTGACTTGTTTCTCTAAAGCTTTGCAAGATTCACATTCGTTTGAGGAACTTTCTGGTTTGTCGGCGCTTCTTTTGCCATAAAATTTATTCTCTTGTTTTAACTTCTCATTATCTTTTTCCAGATTTTCAAAATCATTTTCAAGAGTGGAGAG